ACTGTGGCTGGGATCCTACCATTTGCTGGGCTGTCTAGAAAATTCCTCTATAATTGCTGCTGAAATCATCTCCCCAGACAGAGCAGTGTCACTGCAGCCACAGCTCGAGGGACCCTGGTTCTGGCGCCGTGCAGACCCCCAGCGCCCGGGCCGTCTCCTGGGCCTGGTCGCAGCCTCCCTGCTGGTACGAGCACCACATCAACACCCGAGCACCCGGTGGTCTGTAAGCCGGGGGGTCATCCATATCGCTCTTCACAGAGGAGCGGAAAGGGCCCGTGACTCGTTCCCGGGAAGCCCCTCCTGGCGTCGACACGACGGCTTCCCGGAGTGAAGGTCTGGCTTGGTACGTTTGTTGGCTGGGTCATGCTGGAGTCAGCCTTGCGTTCACCGGCCCCAGCTCCAGCCTGGCAAGTCCTGAAGCTTCCTGGACAAGGGTCATTAAATAGCCATCGATGACTGTCCTTTATGAAATATTGAAGGGAAACATTTATTATAGGAATAACAAAGGGTCATATCAACGTTTTAAAAAGAATTACAATGAATCAATGAGGACAGGTCAAATGACACAATTAGGAGCATGGATAAAAAGTAGGGACTGGTGATTCACAGATGAAACACGAACAACAAACGTGTGACAACACGCTCAGCCCACTGAAGTCAGGCAAATGCAAGCATGAGGCAAGACAGATTTTTTTGCCTCTCCATTTTACAAAGTTCAAAGGCTTGCTGTTATCCGGTCAGTGATGGGTAGAGAGATGGCCACCATCTGCACCACAGGTGGCCAGATGAGTTGGGACATCCTTTGGAGGTGGCAGTTTTTCTGACCCAGAAACTCCACTTCTGGGAAGCTCTCTGTTAGAGATACTTTGCACGTGAGAGCAAACACATTTGCACAAATACGTTCGTCATAAAACTGCAGTGTGACAACGCAGGCTGAGGGGAACTGCCCGACGTCCACCACTGTCCACCTGCAGTGGTTTACACCGGGGATGCCAAGCGCCCTCAGACAGGACGAGGAAGCTGTGCACGTGCTGACACGGCCAGAGTCTAACACAGAGCATTAGACAAAAGGGCAAGTCGCACAGCGGCCCATAGGCGGTGTGCTGTGTCGCTTCTAAGATACAAGGTTTCCACTGCTAACCTCTTGAACGTCAGGACGTATCTCAGAACCGATGGCACCTTGGAAGAGACAACTGGCAGTGTGCTGGCTGTCTTACTGGAACGTAAAGGGGATTTGGCAATTTTGTCATCCTGGATTTGATGCTATACCAGGAGTCTGACACTGTTGCTCTGAAAAACAAACCATCAAACCACAGTCCGTGTGTTTATGTAGCTGTACGCTCTAAATCTGCGGACAGCTGTCTGGAAGGACGTACCCCTAAGTTATCAGTGGATCGAGGCAGGGAAGAGGAGTCGGGTGAAGGGCCAAGTTCACATGCGCTCTTTCTGTTTGGCTTGAGCTTTACAACAAACACATCTCCCTGTGTTGCTTCAGTGGCACCATCTTTTGAGACCAGGGGCCAGTGCCCCGGGAGACAACTCCCCACCTGGGAGTCGGAGGAGGGGAGGCCGCAGGCCGGGGAGGCCAGAAGCCCTCCTGGCTGCCGAGCTAGTCTCGTGTCTAGAGCCTGGGTTTGGGGGGTAGCCTGTACCCTGGGACGGGGAGGACTCTCCCCCAGAGTCACCCAATCATGGGTACTGCCGCAGAGCCTGCTGAGCAGCACGCCCCTAATCCGTGCCCTCCAACCCCAGCCAGGAGCTCACCTCCCCCGGCCGTGGGCCCACCGGCCCTCCCACCCTGCCAGTACCTGGTGCCACGTCAGTACGTTTCCACCTGACAAGGGGCTCCTCTGGGGCAGGCCTGGCGTTTGTCCCCTTTCGGCCCCTCGCACCCTCCTGAGGCTGTGGGCTTGGGCCGGTTGGTCCCTGGCAGGCTGGGATGCCCGTGTGCACCTTCGCGGCCCCTCTTCCGACCTCTCCTCCCCATCCACCGCCTCCGGGGGTGCCCCAGCTTTCACCTCTCCGCCTCTGTCCCCCGGGGGAGGGAGCCACCGCACCGAGGGCAGAAGCAAGGCGTCCCCTTATCTACCACATAGACAGACGCGCAGACGGACAGACCCAGAAGGAAAACCAACGCTAAACCCAACGTAGAGCAAAGAGCGATCACTGCTGGTGGGTTTTTTTTTGCAAGGGGGGGTGAATTGAGTGGAGGGAGAAGAATAAGAGGTTTTCAGATCACTCATTTTAACAAATATAACAAGGCTTATAAAATTTATTTATTAAATAAATACAACAAATAGTAAAAAGCATCTGTTTAAATCCCAGAGTATGTGAAAGAGGAAGCTGGTGCGTGGGTCAGGGGAGGGTGGAGAGAGAGCTGGGACCACCAGGGACATAGGGTGTGTCAAGCGTGGGGGGCCTCACAGGAGTTACTACTTAAGAGGAGAAGCAACGTTAGAAGGATTTCCTGATTCCACCTGGCCGTGGGCTTGGAGCTCGCTGCCATCCTCCCTTCTGAGATTCTGAGAAACCAGCACAGCGCGCAGAGCCCTGTTCGGATTCCAGGGGGAACGTGCGCCCCCTGCAGGGCGAGTTATTTGACTCCACGCTTCACGCACGATGAGAACTGGGCTCACCCACCGGCCACTGCACTCACTCTTGCCAGGGGAGCTGCTTGATGCTGTGTCCGAGCTAAATTTTAGAAGCCCTAAAATCATCTTATATAAGTCAGCGCTTACCTCCTAACGAATGTCTTGTCTAAAGGGATCTAAGGCACAAGGCTGGGAAGAGAAGACTGCAGGGAAGAAAGAGACGCAGGCTGAGAGTCAAAGTAAAGATTTATCCTTGTATCTGAATGTTTTGGATCTTACAATTTGCATATACAAAGAATTGAGCGACATCCACTGGCATTACAGTCAGAGCAAGATCAAATTATAACTGTAATAAAAGAAAAAAATGGTAGTTGAAACTGAAATACATACATATATTATAAAGATTGCATATAAATTAAACACAACTCAGGTAAGCAAAACTGAAGTATCAGTTACACATACATTTTTAAAAATAACATGGGCATGTCTCCGAACGCTGAAACAGAGGCGTCAGGCTCATTTTAAAAAGTTTTTAAAAACACATAAAAATACCTTTTAAAACACTGGTGTGCATTCTTCACTCGTATAGCACGTGGAGAAAAACCGCACAGCGAGTCACACAGTGACCGATAAAGCATGGAGGTCAGAATGGTGGCCTTCTAACCCCTATTTGGCGTTTGAATGCAAAGGCATGCAGCAGAGAGAGATGGCTTCGCCAGCATGGCGCAGTTTCGTTATGTACACGGACTTTCTTTGACCAAAGGGAGAGAAGAGAGAACTTTCTGGGCCA